ATATATATATATATATATATATATATATATATATATATATATATATATATATCCTTGCTTTATTAATAATTCTTGTAGGCAATTGCTTTTTGTGGGGGAGGACAAATACATTTTTATTAAATCCACAGAGGCGGTTTTGTTTTAATGAGAATTGCTGAAGGAAAGCTACCATCAGCATTCCACATTGTAGGAAAGGAAATAATTCTTCTTCAACAGCACCCACCCAAGGTTTTCACGCAAGAGCAATTGCCATGCCTGCATCTCACCTATGGCAGCAATCTTGTACTAAAAATGGTGTGTTTTCTATAGAAGATATTCAAATGTGATCTCAAAAAATTGGGATATTGTGGAGAAATCATTATGTGTGTCACAGTAATTGACAGGACTACTGTGTATAGCATGTAATTGGCTGGCAGATAGCTAAGGCAACTGAGATACTCATGTATTGGAAGTTGTATTCCCCACTTTTCTAACCTGGTCTATTTATTCTGAATTCTAAGACCCAAAAAGTATGTATCTACTTTTAAATAAAGACAAAGAACATCTAGATATTTCAGCTAATTTCTTTAATAAGGAGACGCATATCATTACAAAATAACAGGTTGACAATAAAGACAGAAACAGTCCACATGAGGATAGGGAAGGGACCATTAAAAGCAGCTTCCTGCAGGCTTAGGGGAGTTGAATCACATTGCACCTGAAGTGGGAAGATAACTGGAGATGAAGACTCCAGTAAATTTAGTCAGTTTGGGAAGCTTCTACATCACAGAGGAAATATGGCTGGAATGGGAAGGAGCTGAGGCCCCACCCTACACCTGAGTATCAGATGTCTGAAGTCTTTTGTAACCTAGCCTGTGGTGGGTCATCATGATTATCTCTTCATACAGCTGCTCTATTTGGAAGTTGGGGTGCCATCATCTCCCTCTGCAGTTATGCCTTTAATAACAGCCTCAAATGCTATTAGGTGGTCAAATAAAGATATGCTGATCTCTGTTCATAAATATAGTGCTAAGGCAGTGGTGGGTTTCAAAAAATTTTGGAACCTGCTTTCCGGGTCCACTGGTGGAACCTCTTCTAACCGGTTCGGTATATTGGAACCAGTAGGAACCCACCTCTGTGCTAAGGGCACAAAAGCACCTGGCATTTTCAAGCAAGTGGGGGAAATGTCAGGTAGCACTGCATTTTTTCTTCCTGAGCCATTTACAATACTTCTGCACTGCTGCCATCGCTGCTTAGATTTCTATAGTTCAAGTAGCATACGAGGAGTAGGTCAGCAGTCCCTGTTGACCAAATATGCTGTCTTAATCAAAACTGCCTTGAGGATCTTCGGGGACTTTATTAATACTGCACCACTTTTAACCCTAGCCTGTTTTTCTCAGGATTGAGTCCTTGGTCCTCTTATCCATAAACAACCAGTTATAAAATCACAGGAAGTAGAGGCCTCTTTGCCACACAGTCCTTTAAACACAGAAATGATTTTAGTTAAATTATGCTAGGTAGCCATTCTGAAAATTCTAGCTTAAAAAGTGCTACCTTCATCATTTAATTCTTGACCTGCTAACCAATCTTTCCTCAATTTGAAGCAGTGCAATACATAATCATTTGCACTAAAGTGCAAAGTCCATGTACACAGAACATGGCTGCATCAGTTGTTTGTCTCTTAACCACTAAAAATTATGGTTTTGCATCTTACTGGAAAAGGCAGTCACTATTTTAGGCAGAAAGGCTGTGAAACTTTGAAAATAATTTGTTTACAGTTCACTATAATGAACTGATACCTTAAAGCAGTATTATCTTTGTCTCAGTATTCCAACAGAGACATGAAAAAGAGGAGGCTGCTTAGTAAGAGAATTGCAGCAGTGGTGTGAGATTGGAAGTATTTCTTCCAAATAATTTTGAAAGCATGTGTTTTATACTCTGTTGCCAGTCATAAAGTGACAATCAAACTGCTAGTATTTGCCAAATAGCTCTATTTTTTTTCAAGCTAAAAGGAAAGGGCTCCTATGTCAGTTATTACTTTTCTATTCTGGAAAAGTGTCCAGCATTTAAACTTCCCCCAACATGCCAGAGCAACCCCGTGAGAAATTCAAATGGTGGTCAGCCTCCCAGGTATAGCCACTGCTATCATAATAATTCTTGCCAAGAGGAACTGCCAAAATAGGTTATAGGCACTGAGAGACCTGCCAGGTCCCAGGTCCCAAGTCTGCCACCAGAGCCCCTAAACACAGGCTAAGAAAAGGCTTCAGACCAATGCCATTCATAGCCTAACAAGGTCAGACCCCCAGGCAGGGCCTCAGCCTCAAGCCAGCCTTATCACTCATCAGTGACCCAAGTGGTTAAAATAACAGTTGGACAGCAAGACAGACAAAGAAAGCAGGGACAGGGAAGCAGGGAGAGCAAGGATCACTTGTTAGCCAATCCCCGTTTCAGGATCCTGGCAGCCCGTGATCTAATATGGCTTCTAAAATTTGCTTCAACAGTAGAGGCTTCAACACCACACAGAACATTGAAGCTGCAATGTTGTGGCTATCTGAACATAGTAAAAATGCCACCAGTTTTGCCAATATTAATTATACAAGACACTGATGAAACTTACTGCCATATCTTATCCCACCCCTCCCTGCTTTCACCGAGTATATATTTTAATGGATCAAACATGCTTTGTTGCTTTTTTTTTGTTTTAAAAAATTATTACTTTTTATTGAAAATAAATGTATGTTGTTACGACCATTCTCTCTGATATTTTTTTTTACAATCCCCCTCTATTGCGTTAGGTAAAATAAATTCATTCACACCACATTTTAAAAATAATTCTGTAGCCTGGCTGTGTTTCTAGAAAACGAGTGATAATCCACATATTGTACGAGTTCTGCTTTTGCATGCTTTTACTTAAATACTGTGCTAGTTGTCATGCATCATTTATAAGAAGGTTGTATTTATGTTAACATTAGATCTCTATAATTGTTTTATACAGAAGTACACACAAATGATGGAATTTGAATGAGGAGTAGATGGCTTAATTGATTCGTTTTCTCAATCCTTTTATACAGAAAAGGAACTCAACAAAATATATTATACTGATTGTTAAACCATTTTAAACCATAGAAATAGAAGCTGTAATTCAATAAAAGGGTATGTTCCGATTTATTGGTACTAATATTTCCAGTACTCTGCTTTCAGATAGGGCACCCTGGGTGGTTAGCATAAGGAACCAAAGCAGGTTTGCATTATGAAGTTGCCATTTTGTCATATGAACCATTAAAAATGAAGATATTCAAATGTTTATTCTAAGCTAGTGAGAGTACAGCATCCTTCTTGCACCTTACAGTATAATCTTCTTTCCATTATTCAGCTAGATTCAATCAAACTGGCTGGCTATACTTTTTAACATGAATTGCTACGTGCATCCAATATATAATCAATGAGCCAAAACTATCAGAGCCATTGCTTTCAGCACTTTTTTTGTCTTTCTTTTGGCAGTTTCTGTGTAGAAGTAACAATGCAGAAATATCAATCAAATGTAAAGTAACAATATAAATAGAAGCACTATCCTGGGATATAAGCACCAATGCAGTTAAACAGTTCAGGTAGCCATCTGTTTTGTAGTGTAAATGAAGGAGTGATTTATAATGGATACAGCTTATAAATACAAACTATCAAGCCAGAAAGGGATATTAAGTTTGAGGACTCTATAAAAAGTGTTCATTTCAGGTCAGGTCAAAGTTACATATCAACACATTTAAATGGCACATGTTTGCTAGCACTGGAATTAACACACCTGCCTTTAAATAATGACCTCTTGAAAAGCATCTTAAGAAATGAATGAATGCCAGAAAGATGAAGATGGGGATATTTTTTGCAACTCAGAGGAAACGTTACACTCATACAATGGAGGATGCAAAACTAGAACTGATCCCACATTCTGTAGCTGTGGAAAGGATTCTGCAGTCCAACTGTTGATAGAAAGGAAAGACAAAAGGACTATTGTCTCTGGAGACAATATTTTTAGTTCATTAAACTTAAACTTGGCAACTTGAAGATGTGTGGACTTCCACTGCCAGAATTTTTTGAGTGGAAGTCCATGCATCTTCAAGTTGCCAAGTTTGAGAATCACTGTTCTAATTGATCACAGCAAAAATAAGAATTTGTCCATCAGACCCTATCCAAACTATAGGCATCTCTAGGGGGCACTGCTTCCATCCCCCAGTCTCATACACAGCAGTTTTAAAAAGATGATGGCTAATTTTAATTCTGCTTACTCTGAAAAAAAACCCCAAAATAATATGATCAGCAAAATTTACTTTTCCTTCTTCCAGCTAACCTTAAACATGATATGACAATTCCCTCAATGGTTTATTATCTCACCAGGAAAGATACCTTACTTGCCAAACTTTGCTTTTAGTGGAAAGTGATTCATTCTTTCTCATTAGAACAGTTTCACCTTAGAGTAGTTCTGTTCTCAAGATGCAGGTCTAAAATTTAAAAACCGAAACTCATGTTTGATTTCAGAACTCCACTAGTATGCATTAATGATGCTTGAAATCGTCTATCATTGCCAGCTGGCAGTATTTAAAGCTAAGAGGCACAATAAGGGAAATGGGAACAGGTTTCACTTACCCCTTTTCTTTGTAGAACACGCTTGCATCAAACATATTTGCACAGAAAAGTTCTATTAAGTCTATTTTTTTCTGATTAAGCATATAAACAATTACATAAGCTTCTTCAGAGCGAGTGTTGAACAATTTCAATACTCCCTTTGTGTAGTTAGGGCCAAAGTTCCAAGCTGATAGCTCACTTATGCACCCAGTGAACCAAGGTAAAATTATAGCCACTTAGATGTAATTTAAACAAGAAAGGGGATTTGGGGAAAGCATACAGAAAGCTTTCAACTATCTTCTTTCTTTGCTTGGATATACCAAAGCAGCTTATTTTGAAGCATTTAAGCAGGTGGTAATGTTTTTCCCTCCTCACTAGTTGTACAGTGAGTTAATCAGGTGAAAATGGGTAGAAAAGAATACAAAATGCCTACAATATATTGATTGAAATGCTTTAAGAACTAGAATCAACTATCTTAACTCAAATTGTATATTTTTCAACTGTATCAATCTGTCTATCCTTTGCATTAATTCTTATCTTTTGAAAGAAAGAGATCTCACACAAGAAACTCAAAAATCCTTCTGGCTTCACTTTCAGGCATGGGTTCTTAGTTTGATTTGTACAAGTGGAACAAGCCGGCCTTTGATTACTTTGGTCCTTATTTGCAGTCTAAATGATGCAGCAATGATAAAGATGACTTCACTCCTAATTGGAAAGGTTTTTTTTAATATTCTAACCTAAGAGGGGTTGAGAAACAAACTATTCTTTGAATATATAGCACTGCTCAGTGAAGAACCAGAATGGAATGCTTTTTGTATTATCACACTGCTTTTTGTTAGGCCCTTACAGGGAACAAAAACTAGCACAGACAAAGCAACCCTTGAAGGCAATGCTGGCAGATGGTTAAAGTTATAATTTAGGACCAGATGCAAGACAAATAGGTACAGTCGGAAAAAAACTGCTGAATATACAGGAACCTTAGATTTCCTGTTTCTTGCTCCTCTGAAAACTGTCTGATTTAAAAATCTGTTCCTATTGCATCTATGCTTACACAACTACTAGTCAGATACAGGTCTGAGCTCTGCTCACTCAGCTTCTTAACTGGAAACCATTCTTTTACTTCTATCAACCCCAATCAGATATTCCCCAGTGACATTCCAGACAAAAGCAATTCTGTGGTCACTGATAGCAAAACTACGCTCTCAAACTTTTCCAGACTCAAGGCTTTGATATTTCACCCTCTTTTCATTAACTCTAATTCAATATTTAGCTCTAAAAAGCTTTTATTTGAAAAACTTACTTCCTAGCCCCCATTTAACCTCCTTCCACTACCATCAGTCTGAAAATGTATCTGTATCGGGCACTACATAAAAACAGGGGCAGGGTTTTTTTTTCCCAGAGATCAGTGCAAGCACTAGGTAACAAAGATAATATGGCTTGACTTTCTGGGATTAGCAAAAAAATAATAATGAATGGTTTGGCAGCCAGACAAGAGAAGAAGGCCCTGCTGTTTTTGATAAATCTTTGGTCTTTTGGTTGGAATGGATTCACTTTCCCACTAATTTCTGGCTTTGCTCCCTTAATTAAATGTGACTGGGGGTGGGTGGGGGATGTCTCCAACCGATGGTACTTATTTTTTTTTAAAATTAAACTTCCTTAAGATACTTATTGCACTGTGCTGGCCACTAGATGGACCTTCCTGCTATTTCTAACCCATCACCTATGTAAAAGTTCCTGCTCTTCAGCATTAGAAAAACACACAGTCCTCTGTCTCAAGCATTTTCTTCACATCCTTTAAGTTCCAAATTCGTAAAAAATAAACATTTTCTACCAATCAATCTGCAACACTCAACAGATTTAGTCTACTGTGGTTTTAAAAAAAGAATGGCGGTAACAAGGCATGATAGCAAATGTTTGCAATTCAACCCAGGCCTATCATTTTTATCTGATTTACAAAGCTGCCTGAGACATTTGACATAGCTTTTTTTCTGATGCATCTAAGCTTGGCACTGCTACCAATAAGATGACTATCTTATAAAGAGTGAAATGTTCACATAAATTGATAGCTCGTGAAGCCTAGAATAAATATCCCATGATGTTTGGCTTTTTTCCCCAAGAAAAAGAACATTTTGCACTCTGCCTTCCACAGAAGCATTTGTAGATTTCATGCTCCAATGATCTTCTGGTACCACTCCATTGTTCGAATTAAGAACAAAACATTCAAAGGTTAACAGAAGACCCACCATGTTAGGTAGCTAATACAGGGCAATTATCATTTGGCAACTTGTATGTCTCAAACCATAGTCCTCTCATTACAGAGAATTAATCCACCAGTCAGCCACATCTTCAGAGATGTCCCAGTGCCAATATTGCTTTTCCTGAATATTCCTGATAGATGGCTCATGGCCAAACCTCACTAAATTCCGTTTTTCAGGAGTGCCTTTTCATACACCTTGCTTCCTTTCCCCTCCCCCCCAAAGCAAGCACAGTGTATCTCATCATCTCACATTTTCAGGCTCTGGTATCATCCTGTAGCACAAGGTCTCATTTAAGGAGGAAACTCCCAAAACAAGCAAAAGCAAAGCTGTTTTGTGCTGTTATTTGTGGTGGGCTCAGAAAGACCCAAGTAAAAAGCTTGCTGTACACTTGAAGAGAATAACACAGAGAGATGGTGGAACATGCAGCAAACCAACTACTTGGAAGAATATGAAAAGAAGGAACCACCATGCTTTTAAACCACTTCCTCCTGGATACTCTTGAGTTCACCTGGATTCCTTTGCAGCCATCAAAGAAAGAGTGTTGCAGCTTAAAGAAGAGAACAAAAACTAAATGTTGCCTAACTGAGGTATTGATAGCTCTGGATCACTTTGAATGTTCATTAGGTGATGTTGGAAAATGGAGCTGCCTATTTGTTTTTCCCAAGAGCTGCATCCACCTCTTCTTCAGGTTTCAAGGAGTGCCATTGGGCAATGGGGCGGCGAGGGTTGGCGAGCATGTCAGACCAGTGCCTGAGCTCAGTGCCTGAGGAATTGTTGCCAACAAAGACTTTTCCAATGGCTTCATTCTTTCCCAACTTGTCGTAATCCAGGACAGTAATTACAACTTGCACTTTCTGGAGAGAAGCAAGAAAACAGAGATCGTTAGTAAGACCAAATTAACAGAAGAACAGAGTTGGAAGGAACCTTAGTAAAGGTAAAGGTTCCCTTTGAACATATGTACTAGTTGTTCCCGACTCTAGGGGGCAATGGTCATCACCATTTCCAAGCCAAAGAGCCAGCACTGTCTGAAGATGTCTCCATGGTCATGTAGCTGGTATGACAAATGCCGAAGGCACATAGAACACTGTTACCTTCCCACCAAAGGTGGTTCTTATTTTTCTACTTGCATGTTTACATGCTTTTGACCTGTTACTTGTTCCTGCTAGAAGCTGGAACAAGTAACGGGAGCTCACTCTGTTATGCAGCACTAGGGATTTGAACTGTTGAACTTTATGATCAACAAGCTCAGTGTCTTAGCCACTCAGCCTCCGCCTCCCTCGGAAGGGACCTTGGAAGCCTTCTAGTCCAAGCCCGTGCTCAAGTAGGAGACTCTATACCATTTCAGACAAATGATTGTCTAATCTCTTAAAAATCTCCAGTGATGGAGCACTTGTAACTTCTGAAGGCAAGCCATTGCACTGATTGTTCTGTTAGGAAATTTCTCCTTCTTTTCTAGGTTGTTTCTCTCCTCTCTAGGTTGTTTTTAATTCATTGTGTCTTGCCTGCCTTCAGGAGCTTTGGAGAATAGATTGACCCCCCCCCCCCTGTTCTTTGTGGCAGCCCTTTAAATATTGGAACACTGCTATTATGTCATCCCTACTTCTTTTCATTAAAATAGACATACCCAATTCCTGCAACCGTTCTTCATATGTTTTAGCCTTTGGTCGCCTAATCATCTTTCTCTGCACTATTTCTAGAATCTCAATATCTTTTTTATATAGACCAAAACTGGATGCAATATTCTAAATGGCTTTGGTCTTACCAAAGCAATATAGATCACACTTCATGTGATCTTGATTCTATCCCTTTATTAATTCTGCTTAGGACTGTGTTGGCTTTTTCAGCAGCTGCAGCACACTGCTAGCTACTAAGATCTATGAGATAATTCATGGGCAAAGAGGAGAGATCTTGAAAATATACTTGAGTATTTTCTCAGTTGTAGCTGGTGCTGGAAAACATGTGTTTGTTCATCCAGTTTTTTTACATGAATTGATGCTGCTTTATTTCTGGTTGCTGTTGTCCTGGTTTTAATATTTTAATCTGTTGGTTTAATGTTATCATTCTAGTCATTTGCTCTGATTTTATTATTTTAATCTTATTTTGTACCCCACACTAGAGTTATGACTACAATAAAAAGTGAATAATACATGTTATAGTTCATTTACTAAATTAATAAAATTAAATATTTAGAGCATTCGGAAAATCTCCAATGAGAGGATTTAAGTAGAAAGAATTCTTCATGTAAATATCATTTCTAGCTGAAGCTAGGCTAATGTTTCTCCAAAGAGAAAAGAAATACTATTTTCATGATAAAGCTAGGTTCCGTTACATGCTGATTTTGCAACTTCAGATTTAAATACAAGAGGAACAACTACACATTTTGTGTGTGTGTGTGTGTGTGTGTGTGTGTGTGTGTGTGTGTGTGTGTGAGAGAGAGAGAGAGACAGAGAGAGAGAGAGAGAGATAAAGAAAGACAGAGAGAAACAGAGAGCGAGAGAGAGAGAGAGAGAGAGAAAGTGGGGGAGAGAAATGTATTGTACGAATTGTTAATATGATTGACAACATCAGCAAAGATGTTTGGCTAAGGGCTTCAATAGCTAGCCAACTAATCAGCTTCCTTGCCTGCCTACCTCTGCTTTATAAAAACTTAAGCCTTCACAATGTAAATCCTCTGTATTTGGTAAGACTATTAATTCTCCAGATTCCCAACCAGCATGACCACAAACCTGAATGTAACCAAGTGGATGCAATATACAGTTTCCCTTCCTTGGTCCCAGTGCAGTAGAGACTTCAGAAAGATACATAAATTAAACTTATATCTTTACAATATTTCTGTCCTAATGAGCTCCACAAAAGATCTGTCTGATACAACAGAATATTTATAAGGATCAGTGGATTCATGTTCAACTCTTCCCTGCTCCTTCCGGAAAAGTTCCCTGTACAACCTTATTGTAAGTAAACTTTTATTAAAGGGGCATACAAGTAAAAGAATTAAAGAGAAAGGGAATCAAGAAGTGCTCCAAACACACATCCTCTAGATATGTCAGATTACACCATCTCCATCCAGCATGGTCAACTGATGTCATAGCCATGATGATAAGTTACTCAAGATACTGGGGAGACACCAACTGCATTTGAACCCATTTCCCTTCCAAGGTTCAACCATCATTGATGGGCAACTGCCTGTGTCAGATTATGGACCTGCCTCTTGTGCTTTGTGAAGCAGTGGGAGACAATGGAGAAATATGTCAACTCAATGTTTTCTTGGAGCTGCCTGCATCATCCCACACCCTCAAATGAGAAACATGAGAACCTGTATCTGCTCAAAGGGAATTTCAAAGCTGAAAGATTCATTGAAATAAGGGTTCAGGGTCTTCTTCTTGACTGTAGTCTTCTTCTTCTTAAGCCTTTTGCCATTCTGCAGCAGATGAATTTTCACATAAGGATCTGAAACATAAGAATATACAATCATAACTAGATAAATACATAGACAAGCCACTCAAAAATATAAACAAAACCTGAAGAACTGGATATCCAGAAATTATATATCAGATACAAAGTGAACGAAAGGACAATTTCCCGTTCTCCAAATAGTTGAACCAAAGGTTACTCTATGAAACCGAATTGTTCAAGAATCAGAATAGAGAAAATATTTTTTTAATAGGATATGTTATTGGACTTCAGAATTTGCTACCACAAGATGTAATGCTTTTGCAAGTCAGTTTGGCTAACTTGCAAAAGGGTTGAACCAATTCATGGAAGTCATGGATATTGATGGCTGTTAACCTTGATGGCAGAATGACTGCCTATGAAGCCTTCTGCAGGGACACTTGTTGTGTAGTTAGTTTGTTAATGGGAGAAAAGATTACTGGAGTAGATGGATCAGAGTTTTGATCTAGGAGGGCGCTGCTTCTGTTCTTATGTTTTCTGCAAGATCCTGATATAGTATTTTTCCATCAAGGCTTCAGTACATTTGCACTGTTCTCTAGGTTTTCAACTTGTTCTCTAGATTTCCAGGAAGTCCTATTTATTTATTTGTTTATTGATTTAGCCTATTTACTGATGCTGTTACTTAGTTTGGGTAATGTAATGTCTGCAAGAAAACAACCAAGAGAGTGGCTTGCACCAGTTCCTTCTTTCCCCCCAGTTTTTTGCCTTGCTTTAGTCCAGGGTAGTGTTTTATTTCTTTCCTACTTTGACAGAACTTTGCTTTCTTTCTTTTCAAAACAGTCTTTCTACTTAAAAATCTTTTCCTTTTATCTTTCTTTGCATGAATACTGGAAAGCAGAAAAGAAATCATGTAAACTTTATTAACGTGAATTTTTAAATCACCGAAGACAAAAGGTTCCATTGCTTCTTCCAAACCCATAATTGCAATAACCTCTAAGAATTCAGATAGTGAGTCACCAGACCACACACAGCTTAAATATGTTTTTATTTTATGTTTGGATAATTATTCAAGTTTGAGATCAGAAGAAAAGTTATATAGCAGCTATCAGGATTCAGTATAGAGCAGCACTTTTCCTTATGTTATTTTTTAAAATAGATGTAGAAAAACAGTCCATTTTCCTTAAAGGTACCAAAGGGATTTCAGTGGCTTGAGATTAAGGCCATGTGATTCATAGAAAGGCTATAGAGAACAGGGTGTTCAAGGACTGTACATTGTATGGACAATGTTTTTGAGTCACCATTCAATAGGTTCAGGAAAAGAGCCTCAGGTTTGTTCTTATATTCAGAGCCAGCCTGTGTGTACTTAGTTGCCAAACATCTGAAGTGAGCTTTCCCTGCATATTCTACCATTTAAAACTATGGTTTTGCTGAGAGTTACTTCTACTTGATTATGAGAGCTCTGCCTTGATGATGCAATAGTAACTTTGCATGTTCAAAAAGGAGAAAGTAATCTTACAACTCCATGTTTTATTCCTGAAATAGGAATGAGCACTATGAGAAGAGCTCATATCTGACAGCCTTTAACAAGAAGCAATTTTCCAATACTTGAAGGACTGTCAACAAGGAAGAGGGTGTGGATGATGTTGAAGGGTAGAACAAGAACCAGTGGACAGATCACATAGGGAGTCCACATTTGAAATTACAAGGAATTTTTTTGACCTTGATAACTATTAAGAGAAGTGGAACAATTTGTCCTTGACATTGTGGGCACTCCAGGACTATAGGTTTGCAAGCAAATGTTGGACAACTATTTGTCTAAGATGGTATAAAGTTTCTTGTTCCAGTGGAGGCATTGGACCAGAAAACCCATGAGTCTATGAGTAAAATGTATTCTATTGGGATTTGCATTTTAAAATATTCAGAAGTTACAGCAGGTTGACTGGTATTTTATGTTTTTTAAGTATTTTAGATGGTATCTTATGATACCTACACAGACACTTCTATACTGATTGCCAATTCCTTACCAAGCATGATTTAATATATTTGTATTTATTTTAAAGTCATCAATGGCTTAAAGTTTGACTATCTAAAAGACTACCTCCATACTATGAAACTGTTGATGGTTAAGATTTATAAGACATCTTCTGAAAATGTCTATCTGAGGCTCATCTTTGTGGCATACTAATTTGATGTATTTGCAAGCTATCAAATGTACATTTGGCTATCAAATGTATATTGTTCTATGTTCTCCCAGTTTTTAAAAGCTGGTCTGATCAGAATGATTTTAAAAATAGATAATACTGTATATGTAGCTAAGGGTTGGCATATTACACTGTTGGTGTTCTCCAAGTTGGTGTTTGGCTTCCAGATGTTTCATTAACACATTAACTTTACTATTGTAAGAATTTTGGAGAAATGAAGTTTATTGGTTGGCAGGGGTTGTATCTGCTTCTATCTTGCCCTCTCTGAATGTGCTTGGATTCTTTCTCTTGTTGAAAAAATTACAATAAGAAACTGGAGGTGTAATTTAAAATACAAATTGACAAGAAACCCCAGTGGTACTGCTATCTTCCCTTCCCATTCAGCCTTTTGCCCACATTCCTTGTATACCTTAGAATCTAGCTGCTATTCATAGATATTCTCTGGCAAGCACATGCGCTGATGACTGTTTCCATGTCAAAAAATTAAAGAAGCTTTGAACTCAAAGATTTTGCAAAAGAAAGTAAGCATATTATCTAGTCTACAAACATACACAGACAAATGCTAGATAGCAAATAGTACTTGAGGTTTTTGTATCTCTGCTGCTCTCTAATGGTCTTTTTGACTACAGAATGCGCGAAGGAGAACCATTTGTTTGTATTGACAGATATCTGAATAGCTCAGAGGAGATATCTAGTGGGTATGTTGTTGATCTTCACTCACCAGAAAGTCCTCCAACATCCATCTTTTTCAAATTCTTGGCCTCCAGTATGCAGACAGTCAATTTCCCAGCAGTGGGTACATATCGTAATGAGATGCAGATGTCTCCCAATTTCTCTGGCTGTTGAGGGAAATTGGGAAAACAATGAACTCAAAGCTCCTACTGTGTCTCATGAATTATCTGTGCCTACGATAGAAAGAAATTATTTGTAATGTGTTGTTTTGAGGCAGTTTTTATATGTGGGCGGCCAGCAGTCTACTGTTGATTCTGTTACTCTACCTTTGGCTGGAAAAGTGAATCTCCTTGTGCCAAGTGCGTAGGATACAACCAGATTACTTAGTTTCCCAGAAGTGCCCTAGAAACAGATGGCTTTTTAGATTACCTTATCATAATCACTGCTTGTCCTTGATCACACTGATTGGGGCTAATGGAAGCTGTAGCACAAAACATATTATATGAAGTTGTTAGTTTTGGAGGACAATTTCCCCTACAAAGTAGATGCAGTGGTTATACATGTAATAGTGCTGCATTTTAAGATGCAGACTGGTTAGGGATTAAGTATGGTTCAAGTGCCTAAGCATGGGGAGTTCTAGCTAGCAGGGATTTTTGCTTCTAAATTTGGTTATCTGTAACACTTTTCCCAAGACCATGAGAGTGTCACAAACTTTACCATCTCTAGGTTCTTTGTAGAGAAGGTTAAATCTACATTTCACAACTGAAGCTCAAACAGCAAGTGGAGGAAACACTTACCTCCTCTTTTTCTGCACTCTCTAGGTCCCTCCATTCTTCAATGGGTTGTCCTAAGTCCACAGTATTCATGGGTACCTTGACTTCCCCAATGATATCATGCTTAGAAAATCGGTCAAAGTCATAGATGGCCATCACCAAAGTCTTCCCACCAAGCTCTTGGTACGGAATCTGTTACAACAAAGTCAAGAACCTTTTTCAGTAATTTAGCATTTCTGTGGAGCCGTGGTGACCCAGTGGTTAGAATGCAGTACTGCAGGCTAACTCATTGTTCACTCCAGGAGTTCAATTCTAAATGGCTCAAGGTTGACTCAGCCTTCCCTCCTTCCAAGGTCGGTAAAATGAAGACCCAGATTGTTGGAGGCAATATGCTGACTCTGAAAACCTTTTTAGCAAGGGCTGTAAAGCACTATGAAGCAGTATATAACTCTAAGTGCTATTGCTATTTCTACCATTTGAAAAGAAACATTGATAAACCTTTTAGAAAGGTCTTGTGTAGCCATAATCTATCTTGGGTGCAAAAAACCTGCATCTCCACTACATGACAACAAAGAAATAGAGAAGAGACTGCTACTTCATTAGCTGCCTAATTTCAAGAAATTTGATTAATGCCCTTGCAAAAGAGGAAGAAAACAATGAAAGCAATGTACAAATGTCTGGAGAATTACAAAGAGTTTTGGCGTTTCTAAACTGACATTCGCATTCTGATTCCAGGATTAAAAATGGTCAGCCACTTTTGTACCAAGGAAAGAACAACTTTTCAAAAAGTAGAAGCAAGTGGTTTTGGCTCTCTTGCTTTAATTTTGAATATATTCACTATTATGAAATAATGGTGTCCTGAAGTACTTATTCATTAGTTTTAGGTGGAAATTCTCTTTTAGAGTACCATTCAAGAAGTAATCAACTTTTAAGATTTCAAGGGCATCACATTACCTTTCAAGATAAACTAGTACAGAGTTTCCTTTCTTTTTTAGTACTCTTTAAAGAGGAACGGGTTTTTTTTGTACTAATACAAGCCATCTCCCTGCATCTAAAAGCCTTAGAAAAAGGACCAGATCTTTGTGTAGAAAGATCTTTGGCTTGACGTTAGCTTGTTTTGCCTCAAATTATTTCTTATTTTGCCCTTGTTTTTAATTTGTTGTTTTAAATAATAGATTGTCTCCAAAATATTTTGAATTTTAAAAGAAGAAAGTATTATGATTAAAATTTAGTTACTAATTAAAAATAAAACCACTCCACTAGTATGTTGAGTAAATATGAGAATCAGCTTAATAAAATGCACTCAAAATTTGCAATACAAGAGGAGAAGAATGCATAAACTACTTAATATCTGGATTTTAAAAACTCCATTTATTCCCTATAATCAAAAAAAGCCTTGTAGCTGTTAATGAATGGTCTAAAGACAGACATTCATATTAAACTATAGAAAAAATGGACCTGCCCACTTTCTGTTTAGCAGAAAGTCATAATGACATAATATTGCTTATATTCTCACATGTTTACTGCATGAAATGTCAAAGGAGTATTTATTTCAATAAAGGTTCAGACATAATACATATTCAACTGTTTGATGAAGTAATAGAGGAATCCTTGCTTCTAAGACAAAGTGAAGGTTCTGGGCACTTGGAGTTAGGCAGTCAGGCAGGTCTTCTAGCCTAATCGGGCTTTTGAGCACATGCGCTCAAATAAGACCTCCCCCCAAAATAAGACCTCCCCTAAAATATTGCAACACAGCAGCAACCATGAGATGATCACGCTCACTGCTTCCTGAGCCTCAAAAATTATAAGACCTCCCTGAAAATAAGACCAAGTTCTAATTTCGGGAGTTAAAAGAAAATAAGACCCTATCTTATTTTTGGGTAAACATGATAGCTACCTTTTTCTCCCACATCACTAACTAGAGGAGAACAGTATTTTTCAAAGGTAAAGGCTGAAGAGATTTCAGTGTTGACTTTGACAAATATTATATCCACCTTTATATTATGTTCATATTCAAAAAGATTGGCATATAGAATTTAGAGGACATCTAAACCACTTTGTCAAGACAAATACACTAACCAAGATATATTGGCATATACCATATAATTGATAGCACGATGCGTAAAATTTATTCATAGTGCTACTACCATCTATTTCCTAAGACATAATTGCTAGAGTCACGTATTGTTTAGATAACCTTTCCAGTACCCTGGCAGTGCTGAGCCCTGTCAGCCATTTTGATTCTTGCTATTAAAATTTCAGTCAGCCTTCTTACTCTTTTTCTCAATTATGTTTCAGTACTATTTCTCATTTACTGGTAGGCTGTTATAGGAATACTGTCTTCTATTGCTTAATATGGTCTCAAGTGTTAGTTTTGCCATCTTCAGTTCCATTTGCGGTGAGGCAGGGTATTGATCACAGATGTATACAAATTATTATGAAGGCAAAATAGCTAGGCCAACATACTAACCATGCAAAGACCATCCAGGTTAGAAATCTTACCTTAAAGACAAAAGTTTCATTATAGGTTGGATTGAGGGTCTTCTTTTGTACTTTGGTCTCATACTTCTTCTTTTTGTCTGGAAGTATGAAGACTTTGACATAAGGATCAGATGTACCTCCCATATCCAATGCTGGCAGTTCAGCTGCTTGGAGGATTCCAACAGTCAGCTGTTTGAGAAAGAAAGAAAAAAAGGGCTTGAAATTGCATGTTCCAATCAAAGTGGGAAACAATCTGATTTAGTCCTTCTATCGTTAATGTACAACTCACTTATATTATTATCTGGTTCCTAATCCTCCTTTCTGTTATTGGGGGGAAGGGGATGGAGCTGTTAATGCTACATTGAACTTCATTTGAAGAAATGCATATGATTAATGATTAGGCACAAATAGAAAATTTATTCTAATATCTTATGATTTGTGAAAATTGCAGTTTAGAAATATTCAGGTAAGCCATTCAACTGGTTTATCAAGAATTCCTAGGAATTTGCCTTCTAGATAGAGAAATGTCATCAAGTATTTCTTTCATGATATTATGATCACTGCACTATCAAAAGTGTATATACTCAATCCTTAAAAAAAAGAAAAATAGAATTTGAAATAGAATAAAAACAATAAATTAAACATTGTGGCAATCTGATGCTTACATTCAGCACTGAGCTATTTATCTGCTAAGACAAGAAGATGTAGAACCTTAGTAACACTTTATGTATGATGGATATTTTTCACAGGTAACTGCATAAAAGTTGTCAGCACACCCCAGGAGTTTACCTAATAAGGAAGTCTTAAAATGGACTTACTATTCCTGTAATGAAAACATTATAGAAAGACATGGCTAAAGTTTCTATATCATAAAACCCAAAGGGGTAAATATACTATGTTCACTTATACCTATATTCGTACATCCTGGTATATTTTGAAAATCTTCTTCCACTACTGCTGTTGGCAACATGTCAAAATCCCAAGGAGCATGTTGTTAATTTTTGTGACACCAGGTGGTAAAATATGGAAACCCATATTTTTAAAATACAAGAATCAACCAGTTTGCCCCATATTATTCTGTTGGTCTATATTCAGAAACTGTGTTTTTATGCAAGGTAAGTCAATGGAGAGTTTACAATAAAGTCCAAAGTTCTTATACTAGGTATCTCATACCATCTGCCACAGACCTTGAACATCTACCAACAAGCCAAAAAACCTCTGAAGAGGTGCCACTTCCCAAATGGGGATCTGCAGATGATCAAGGGGCCTGAAGAAATCAGAAGAGCTGATTGGGAATTTGGAAATTGTCACTCTGAAAACAGCTTGGCTTCCAGTACTCAAAGAAAGAACTTATAGCTTAATGCTTTAAATCAAGATTTCTGTGCACCACTTTTCTCTGGGTTTCCATACTCCTTCACACCATCAGGTTGACTCCTGCATTATTCGAGCTAATTTCAGGCAGGTCTAGAGCTACCCAAGGCCTGGCAGCAATTCCAAATCTATTTTTCTTAAGAATTTTTAAACTTCAGTTCTCATTATCACTCTCAGCGAAGAAAGTTAGAATGTAATGTCTCTTGTTTATATTTATTAATGTGTATATATTACCTGGTTAGCCTGGAAATCATAATCTAAGGAGAACTGCAATTTGCCCAGATTCTCTGGTTCTTTTTCCTCTTCCTCTTCTTCTTCCTCATCACCATCTCCATCATCATCATCATCCTGTTTGTTCTAAAAAAGAAATAGGAGCACATGTTTCAATAAAGAATGCCTATACATCAAGAGCCTCGTTTCACATACAGGCACACACATACATACCCAATATCTTATGTTAGTATAGAAACTCAGATTTACCGTAGGAATAGGAGCATGGATTTCCAGGCCCAATGAAAAGAGGAGGGGAAACTGAGTTTCTTCATAATTTTAATTAACAAGACTAACATGCAACTTTTTTTATTCCTCTTACACATCTCAAATGCGCAGAGAATCTATCTGTTCTTTGTTGATAGATTTAGTGAAGGATACAGCTTGAATACTTCAATAATTTTTTTAAAGAAGGCAAACATTATCTTGCATATAATTGACACTAAAATTCTTATCTAATCAGGAGTTGTGAATTCTACAATTTTTCAGGGAAAGCATTGCCACAGTGGTATTAGTGTAATTCTGCTTTCTCCTGTCTAGCAGCTACTACATGTTTTAGTGGGCAATTTTCTGGATTCCTCAGCCAACATGGTTAAATGTATCCATATCATGGAAGAAATCAGGCTTGTGTAACAGCTAGTGTATGCTAGCAAATGACACCAATCTCCAATGAGAAATCTATGGGAAATGGAGTAGCCAAGGCAGACAAAGCAGCTTAAATATGCACTGTCCATAAAGAAATTCATTGAAGGGATTGCCAAATAAATGAAAATCTTAAATAGCGCCAATGATTTCTTTCTCACTTAATTTTAAAAAAAGATTCAAATACTCACACATGCATATGCATGCAGATTATCCAAGGCACACATTCATTACTCTTTCCAAGACTTCTAAATCACATTTTATTAAATTTGGCTAAATGAGTACTCATGTCTGTCCTCAATACGGTAGTGTTTCCAGAACATCTCACAAGCATGTGCAAGCCAATAATGCTAGATAACTATTTCAGCATTTTACTTGTCATACCTAGACCTTCATAGTGTTACTGAGAAGCCTTTTTGGTGCTTCCTCCATGAACTCAACTCATGCAGAGCTTAGATGAGCTATACAGGTAACACAATAAAATATTCTGTCTATTTCAGTTAGTGAACCTTGTATTTGGATTGAACTTCATTCTGATTCACTAATTATAAATTTTCTTAACCAGAAATTAAAAGTTTTTTTTTAAAATTCTCAGTTACAGCATAACTTCAAGTTTATCATTTATACAAAGTCTAACTATGGAATGTGGGCTCACTGTGGACTAATTCCCATAAACCCTCTTCCCTTGTCCCTTTTGTGCCTCAAAGGGAATTGACATTTGAATAGGACCTACCATGTGTTGACATCCAGGTTAGTCAGAAAAGATGGAGACAGAACAACACAGAACAATGACAAAGAGAGCACAGAGAAGGAAGAGAAGGGCATTATAGACACAAAAGCTTTACAAATTATCAACATCACAAGTGCTCCTGAGAAACTGCAGATTCCACACCTTCCAAAGTGCATTATAAAAAGGATGGGTGTCCCAGACAGAATAAGCGAACAAAATATTAAATTCTAATATTTTCTAATTTCCCAAAGAAACTGGATGAAAACAGAACTTCTATTGCAAAACTATTTACTTGTAAAAGCAAGTGTAAAGCCCTCAACAAGGAGCATGATATAAATACATAAGTAGATCTCCATTATGCTTTTGCTTCAAAACTGGGGGAGATCATTTTCAAAAAGTTTATTTACCAAAGTATGTTGTTTTGGCTTAAGGCACATCATTATTTTTTTGCACTCAGTTTCATTTAATCCAATCAAAGAAACAAAAGTTAGCATTTTATATCAGTCAATTTTATCTTCCATATTTAATGGTAAATAGCACTAAAAAAGAAAGAAAATTGAAGGTAATTAGTAGACCTGTGTTTCTCTGGAACCCAAAAACAAAAAGAGAGAGAGCGAGAGAGAGCACAGAAATACATAAGGGAGCAGAGAAATAGAGACAGAGAAAACACAGCCAATTAGTAACTCAAGGATGACCTCTCCTGTGACTAGAAAGGCCCTTTTTAAGGAAGAACAATGAAAAATAAACTGCAAAGAAAAGACACACAGCTGTTACAATGATCTAGCTAAGTGAGATTCTACACTTCCAGAGGTTAGAGAGGAGAAAAGCTCTCTCTACTCTCTTTTGCTATTGGCAGTCTTCCTTGACAGAAATTGGAGTAAAACAGTCATATAAATTAGCCAAGGAAACCTTTTGTTTGTCCCTACAGTTTGTCACTTCTTCCATTTGTGCATGGATGGGCTAACAGACCAGGAGACATCTGGGGAAATCATATACTGTACCAAAATCTGTTCTCACTACGACTGGAGGGCCTCATTGAAAATCCTTCTATAATTTAGGTGCCTTTTCATAGTCATCCTGACCAGAGTTCCTGTTTTCTTTAAAAAATATGTCTGAAGGTTGTAAATCTCAATCCCTGATACATCTAGATATCCCATATTAACAACCACAACTATTTTCTATCTTAAATCTTGGATGTTGAAATCAATATGAATAACGCAGTAATGAAAAGAACTGGGAAGCCCAATTTAATAGATTTTAGTATTATTTCATAAACCCATGATGGCGAACCTATGGCACGCATGACGAAAGTGGCACACAGAGCCACCTCTCCAGCCACGCCAGCCATTGCCCATTGCTCTTCTGGGTTCTGGTGTGCACACGCACACAGGAGCGCCAGAAACTGGAAGACCAGGTAACCAATGCGTATGTGCACTCCGGAAACCAGAAGCTCAGTTTCCCAACGTGTGCATGCACTTTTCCAGTTTCCAGGGCTCCCCCGTGCACACATGCACGCACTCCCATTTTGGCACTTGGGGCCAAAAAGGTTCGCCAACCCTGTCATAAACTGTAGATCGCCTAAATGTTGACTGTTTTAATTTGGAACATGCTCAGTTCATAGAGACAGAGGTCCTGGATATAAAAGCCTTCAGTCCTTTGACTTTTAATGGGAAAAATTGTAAACAAAGCAACCAGATGGTTTCTGTTCTTGGAAAGCTGGGTTAAATCCAATTCAGTCATGTGTTGTCTTCTCTGTTGGACAGCTTGCCATTGTCTCAGGCACTGTAGATACCTGAAGTCAAAGCTGGGTCCACAACATGTAAAGAATTCAGTCCACCACTAATCCTTATGCCTTTTATGCCATATTAGTTCATTAGTAATTAGAGATGTGATTCATAACACTAACTTTTCATACATCTTCTGGGGCCTTCTGCAATTCTTCAGGGAATTTACGACTACCTATTCTCGTATGCCTGTAAAAACATACACCCACAATATGATTAGGCCAGAGAAAAAGATTCAGGTTATTGGGATCTGCAAATATCTGAAAACTGTCATGGAGAAAATGGAACAGACTTGCTCTTTATTGCTCTAGAGAGCAGAACTAAAAATAGCAGTTGGAAATAGTACAGGAAATATTTTCCAGCATAAGAAAATGGCCTTGGCAAATGGTAGACTCTGCCAAGGGAGTTGCAACTATATTTTTTAAATTGCAGATATGTACTGTATATTGAGCAGTAGGCTTGATAAGATGATCTCTAATATATCTCTTAAGTCTGTGATCCTAAATCAGTGGTTCCCAACATGGTGCCCACAACTCACAGCGGGGCAATTTGATTTTTAACGGGGAGCAATTTGAACCTTGTTTAAACCAAGTTAATGGCCTTTTAGGCTTCCTCTGCATGATTAGAGCTTACTTTTTGAGTAAAGTAAGAAATATATGTGACGGGAGGGGGGATCAGGATTTTAGAGATGCTTAGGTGGAGCATGGCCAAAAAAAAGTTGGGAACCATTGTCCTAAATCAAGAATGACTAATAAATGACTTCCTGCTCTCATCAACCCTAAGCTCAATCTTAAATTATATGATCAATGTTCAATGTGAGACAAGATGGGAAATTAGGGTCCATTTGCAGTTACATATTTCTTTATTAAAATGAAGTTAGTATTTTATTTTATGGTTTGGTAAGAAAACTAATTCATATCTCAACACTGAGGAAACTCTTTGTAGAGAGAATCCAGCTGAAAACTGGCTACAACAGGGCAATTTAAATGATGAAAAAGACTGGAGATGTGCATCCTTAGAGTATGTCATGGAAAATGTATTTATTTATTAGATTTATATGCTGCCCATCTCTGTCCAGAGTCAAGCAACTCCGATTACTGACTGATTAATGTAGATTGAGTGATGGATCAGAAAATGTTTCTCCACATTAGTGAAGCAAAGTATCCCAATATGAAAGAAGAAGCCATCACCATTCATAGCCTGATGTTTGTCAAGATTAATTGGTAATGCGATTTGCTGCTCAGCTAGTTTGATTTATGCTTACAAAACAGGTATTATAACCCTGAATTATAAAATAATGGAATTACTGAGATGGTAGCTTCAAATGGGATACTACATAAGAAATTTTTATGAGCTGAGATTTATAGATGGTCCTTGACAAATTGCTTCCTGAGACCATCCTTGCACAAATCCTCCTGTGCTTTTTGTGAGTGATAATTTTCCATCTGTGTTATCGCAAGGGGCTAAAATGGAATCATAGCTCTAATAGGGAAAAGGGTGTAGGTTATAAATAAGACTAACAGAAGCACCTGTCAAACTCATCTCAGTGTTGGGGATACATTAATAACAATGTCCTCAATCTCTTTGCTTTATATGTAAATATTAGGCAGAATTCTATAGGCTATACGCCCCAAAGCATACTGGTTAGATGAGTTAGACGCCAAAGCACTGCAGTCTCCAATAGGAAGAGGTGAAAAGAATATTTGCCTGTTTCTATTTTCCTATTTTTATTTTGCTATGTTTAGAAAGCTGGAAGATATAGCCAAGAATCTATCCAGAAAATACATACCATCTACATAATAGCGTGCTTGCGTCCAACAAAATATTGAATAACTCTATTCAGGCATTCTTAAAACTCAAGCACTCTCAGGTAAGAATCCAAGATAAGCTCCATTGCTGCCAATGTCATACAAATAATAAGTCTACTTATATTGCACATTGAGAAAAAAAATATGCCACAAAATACCTTAGCATTTTCAACTGTTTCTGCCACTGGCTTCATCATGAGCCAGGCAGGGTCTTTATTCACATGGATGCAAAGTTCCACATATTGCATGCACAATTGTTTTTCTCTTCCAGCTAATCATGCTTAATAGGCAATTATCTACAAAAGTGGGGAGAGTTCTGGAATTCGGAATGCCTGAATATAGCTAATGTTGGATGTGCTTCTGATAACTGATAGTTTTCTAAATTTATCATATTTATAATTTCCTAACACACTGTTACAGTGTGTGATGTACCTAATTATTCTACCTTTTTCTTTGGTCCCTTTGAGTCAATGCTGACTCTTAGAGACTGCCTGGTCAAGTCTCTTTTTGGCAAGAATTTCAGAAGTGGTTTATCATTACCTCCTTCCTAGGGCTGAGACAAATTGACTGGCCCAATATCACCCAGCTAGCTTTGTGCCTAAGGTGGGACTAGATCTCCCAGTTTCTAGCCTGGTGCATTAATGATTATACCAAACTGGTTCTCTAATTATATTGTTATAACCATTCTAATTTCAGCAGAAAAAAAGCTCAGACTATCTCTGTCTCTCGGATTTCTATAGGGCTACTTTCCCCACATGGTTCTGTTGAGAGGTGTTGAATTGTGAGAATTCCCAGATATTCTCTGATGAAAACATCCTCTCTGCATCACCACATTTTCCACAGAGTCACTATTCAGTAGTCAGAATGATGATGCTTTTCTTGACGTGGATATTCTGAGTCTCTCCTTATTAAAGATTGCTGCCAAATGAAAACCTACTTTTAAAAGAGTTTGTGTTGGTACATCTTTTGCCTACATGATACTTAATGCTGACTTGATTCCTTGGGGTATCAGTTCAACCACCACCTCAATTTTGCCTGAAATGTTAAGGGGGACTCATGAGCAGTTGAGGAACCAAAACACAAACTGGCTGAAAGCTCAATTGTTGTGAATAGCCTCAAGGTGACAGTGCTTGATATTGCAAGCACAAAAGAATCTATTTCAAATACTACTGTTTTTTTGTTTGTGTGATAAGTCTATATCCTATATTTCATTTAATACCTGGAGCAGTGTTTCTCAACCTTGGAGACTTTAAGTCCTGTGGACTTCAACTCCCAGAATTCCCCAGCCATTAAAGTCGCCAAGGTTGAGAAACACTGACCTAGAGAAACTACTATATTGCATTCCAAAGTTACATAGAAAAGTTATTTTTGCATAGCAGGAACTGAGTTCTTTCTTATGCTTTCTAACATGCTAAGAAGTATAATGTTTTTTGAAATTCTGAGGCAAAGGAAAAAAAACAAAGTTAGAAACACCTAGAAACATCCTTGGTTAATTTAGGGGGAAAAAATAAAATATATGCAAAAAAAGATTAAAAGCCACTCCATTGCTTCTAAAATTTATAAATTGGTTGCTTGTAAAAATGTTTGGCAAATATGTATACCTTATATTAATTCTGTGTTATATTTAAGACTTGTATATCACTTACTGTATTTTGGGATTCAGATAGTTAATACATTTTATAAATTTATAAATAAATAATACATAAAGAAATGTTTGATATATACAATTAAGAACTCTAGGTTTCCGACAATAAATATTTCTAAATATTTGTTACAAATGGAATTAGAAACTCCTAGTTTCTATGGAAGGAAATGTATCCTTACTTTTGGTTTTATAGGAGAAACTGACTGCCAAAATTATAATAACAACATAAATGTTTGTGCTAAAATAAAATAATAAAGAAAAATTAAATGCAATTACAATACTTTTTCAAAAAAACTTCAGAAATAAGAGGGAGCAAAGATTAGAATTTGCATTTTGTCACCTGAAACAGTGACTCTCAGTCTCATTTTCTGAATTCCTCAACCTGAAATAGTATCATGAACTTCTACCTCTTTTGATTTTTTTAAAGAGTAACCAAGTAATCATAGTTTTGAGACAAACTTTTCTATCCTTCCTGTTCTAATTTATTTCTTGGTTTGGTATATTTTCTAAGAAAGAGCAATTTGTTTGCTTGTTTGCTCTCTTGTATTTATGGCCACTCTAGATAAGCCCACCAGAAACATGAGCACTTTCCCCCCCATATCTTATATAATTGCAGTTTTCCAACTGGTCTTCATCCAATGATATATTTTCACCTGGCCTTTCATATCTTTCATGTTCATAGCATTTTTCATCCCCTTTTTGTCCTTCTTGTTCTTCTTCTTCTTGCAACAGCATTTCTTGCAGATGCAAAAACAGCAGGTCAGCAGCAACAATCCAGCAACGACAGCAATGGCAATCAGGGCCCATGGTGGTACTGTGAAAATATAGGCAGAATATGGGGAAAGGGGTAGCAGGAAGTGCTAGAGGTTTATATTACATGCACAGCATGCAGATGCCATTTCTAAGGTTGTGCACATCCTTTTAAGGAAAAGTTTAAAAGCCACACCCCGTATGGCCAAGTCACAGCCATTTCTGCCCATGGCTGTGACTTCAAATGCAAGGAGAGGTGGCAGAGGAAGATTCTGAAGCAACTCCTCTGAGCCTTCCAGACCAGCGGTCAGCAACTGGTGGTCCGTGAGAAAATTTTGATGGTCCACAAAAAAATTATTTGTATTTTTTTATATTGTACTAAATCAGGGTTCTTCAAACTACAGCCCCTGGGCCGAATATGTGCAATGAATGTTTGTGTTGCTGCAGAGTCTCCCCTCCGGGTCTTTTTGTGTGGGTCAGAGGTGGGAAGAAATTCCAACTTGGGGTCTGCTTCAGCCTTCTGGTGCGGGTCTTTGGGCGAAGACTGGAGGGAAGTGCTGCTGGTGGCAAAGAGCCAGAGAGCCTTGTTTCAGTGGGACTGGCTGGCCATCTCACCCCACTGAGCCTCCAGTACCTGGCTTTACACTCTCTCAGGTCTTCCCTCTGCTTGGAAAGCCTATGCTCATAGTCTTTAGTGAGGTGCTTCTGCTGAGCCTCCTTCTCGGTCAGATCCAATTTGAACTGAGTCAGCTCTTTTGCCAACTCTTTCCTGCTTAGCTCCAACAACTGCTTTCTATTGGGGCCCTTCTATTGGAGCCTGAGCAGGCGAAGAGTGGCTGGGAGGGGAGAGGTGAATAGAGGCCAGTGAAGCACCCCTCGATATGAGTGACATCGAATCACATGACCACCTAGACATGCCCATCCATCCAGCCTTTGGGCAGATCATATTAGTGGTCGGTGGGATTTAAAATTATGAATTTAGTGGTCCCTGAGGTCCGAAAGGTTGGTGACCCCTGTTCCAGAGGATGGAGCTGCCTCAGGTGCCTGGGACAGGCCCTTTTCAGAGTGCTTCTCCTCATGTTTTGAGTGCCCAACTTATTTTTTAATAGCATTTCTTGTATATGTTTATGTTATGTTTATGTATTTAGGATCCCCTACACAACTTAGATCAAAACATTACAAGCAACTATTGCAAACATATTTAAAGAAGCAAATATACAATACAATGGCCAAGTAAATTGGGTTCATTATTTAAGTGCAGAATCAATCTCTTTCTAAAACTTACAAGCTATCATCACTGCTGCAAGACCAAACACAGTGAAGTTGGAAAGCGATTCCATAAATTAGGTTATTGTGACCCACTCAGGCATTTCTGAATGTCGGCACTCAAATGGCTGATCCTTTGGGTCATCTATTTCCAATTCAGAACTTTTCCCAATGTAGAACATTTTTCCCTCTTCGATTTTCTATAAACAGAGTCATCCCTCCAGGTGACTTGCTAATTAAGTCAGTATGTTTGCAACAAATTACTCTACATTACCTCATTTTGAAATTACCATTAAATTAACATAGTCTTTTCTAGTAAGTCCTTTCTTGTGTTTTTTTTTCCTATCTCTTCATTAAAGTGAAAAAAGAACTTCAGGCCACCTTCTACTTTTCTCAAGAAACGTCCTTAAGTAGTTTGGTCTCTTTAATTCAATAAATAATTGTATTTTTTGCAATTGATAATAAAAGGGGAAGGAGGATGGGTGGACATCTAACCTTTGCATTCTACAGATATGCAAAATGTTAGAAAAGGCAAGGATGGAACAATTAGGCCCGGAACTATGTTGACACCAGATACATCCAAAATAAGATCATGTTACTTACAAGGTATACTTTTTATTTCATTCATAAACTTTTCTTTTAACTTTGCAAAAGTATCCTCCGTACTCTCCACTGGGCCTGAATTCTGCGTTGCATTTTCATGGGAGATTCCTGATGCTACTGTAGCGGTAGGAGGTACTGGAGTACCTGTAGTAACAGCTATTATGGGTTCAGGTTTGGGATGTTTTTTGAAGAGGTTCCAAGTCATCTTGGCTGCTATTTAGGCACCCTGAAAACCACAGAGACATTACATAGTTCAGCCCAGACTTTTCCTAGAATATTTCATTTAGTACTGACAGTAATATTATGCATAATATACAAGGGTTAATATTTTGCTTTTCCAAGTAATTTACATACCTGAGGTTATTTATATTTATATTTGCACTGGTATCTCAGAGTAGTTCATAAAGGACAATTTGTTTCTCCCTTAGATAAAAAAGTGGAATGACAAGGAAGACCACATATGATCTTTGCATTGTCCAATTCTGCTTCATCAAAAATGCCTCTCATTGAGGAAAATGAAGCAAAGCTACATATTTGTAGCAAATGTATGCAAATCTCTAGAATTATCAATTTATTTGAAGGAAACTTTAGAGTCAGGTGTTTCAATCAAGGATGGTATTCAGGTACAAGTGTGGGAGATCCTGCCTTATTTAAAGAACAGAATTCTGGTCATTTATAAAGTCTGATTTTTACAACATAGGTATGTGGAAGTGTGTGTGCTTGAACAAAGGAGATTTCTGAAAACCTTCAAAAAACTGTTGGTGATGCTCACCAGACCGAAAAGTTACAAAACTATATCCAAAGAGTTTAGACTCCACCAGTATACAATCAGGCAGATCATGTACAAAGGGAGAGAATTCAGCATCATTATTAACCTCTTCAGAAGTGGTTGACCAACAATGATCACCTCAACTACAAGGTGTGTAATATTCTAAGAGGTCTCAAAGAACTCCAGGACAACGTCCAAGGAACTAAAGGCCTCTTTTGCATTGGCAAAAGTTTTCATGTGACCACCATTATGAAAACACTGAACAACAATGATGTATATGGCAAGACTGCAAGGAGAAAACAACTACTCTCACAAAAGAAAATTACTGCCTGTCTACAGTTTGAGAAATATGTAGCTTTGGATAATTTTCCTCAATAACTCAACATACAAACATTACATTTTGATTCAATCCTTTCTTGAGTTACTTGACTGTAGTAGAATTGTGCCATATGGGTTTGGAACATATGAAGCAGGAGGTAGGAACAAAAAGTGCACAAATGGCATGAAATTCTCTTCAGCCAAAGCTTACCAACCTGCAAACAGTCCTCCTGTGATAATACCTTCTTAATACAAAATTCAAAAATGATATCATACTTATGTCTGGAATGCTAAAATTGGAAGGAAAATAGCATCTGGAATAATGAGAAGGCTTGATATACAAAGTAGGTGACATAAGAGTTCTGCCAGGATAATTTGATATTAATATCAGTACTTTTTTCTAACATTCTAAAGAACAGGTCTAACACATGGACACTGCCATGGAAACAATATCAAAATCAAATTGACTTTAAATATTTTTCAAGTAAAATTAAGAGTTCTACTCAGTCAACAAAAGCAAAGCTTGGTGCTAACAGCAGCTTAATTCATGACACTTGAAAAAATTTCAACTTAGTTTAAGAAAAACATAAAGATAACAAGCTCGACAATATTCCATGCAGTGTATTATTCCAATATTCCAAGTATGCAATGAATTAAAGATAGGTTTGATAAATAGTACAAAAACCAAAAAATAGACAGCATGTGCCTGGTTAGATCATTTCAGATATATTTGCTTACCTAAACAGAGAAACAGCATGACCACAGGCAGGCAAGAAACCAATGAGAGTGTGAGCAACTTTCAACTTCCTACTGGTTCCCCATTGAGTGTCTTTGTGGGAAGCTGGCAGTAGAAACTTTTACCAGAGGAGCATTTCAGTATTTCAGAGTTCATTCTTTTTAGCTTTTATGCATGGGATGCATACAATTGGACGTTACAGAAAAGTCATCTCTCTTCTCTCTCTTTCCCATATATAAGTTATACTTGAGCAGAGCAAAGGAAAATTTAAAGTGGGCTATAAAGTGAAAAATGAGGAACTCACCACTATCAAGGTCCTGTGTCTCAATATCTGAAAGTGGTTTTCATTGCTCCAAGGCACCACCCACAACCTTTTGGGTGCCAGGAACTGGTACTGTGGAAATAGGTTTTTTTGCGGAGTAGGGTGTGTGTGGTTTTGCATGCTACCTGCATCCCACGGCTTCACTTGTTTGCATGGCCTGGATTCTGGCATGCTGCGGTCTGGGCCAGTCCACGGACTGGGTGTTGGGGACCCCTGCTCTAAGGGATGCACATACACATGTATACCCAGTTATTTTATGAGAATTAGATTTCATCTTGCTGCTCTTTGGTAGGTTTCAGAATTTCAACCCTACCTCAATCCCAAATCCATCCTTTTTCAGAACATGGCTTTCCATTCATTCACATAGGATTCCTACTTATTTATGACACCAAATAAGAAATAACAAATGCCTCTTTTCTGGTTTTGTTCCTTTGCATCTCTAAGTGATTAATATCAGGGTCAACTGGGCAACAAATAATGTCCAACAAACAATGTGTATAATCATTTCCTTCCTTTTGTAATCATTTAATAGAGAAGAGGTCAAGAGAATGAGCATGTTGGTGGAAAAGTGGAGGGCAAATGCCAACCTGGCAGTGGAATGGCTAATGAATCCACTATTTCCTGCTTCTTTCCCATTGTAACTTCATTTCAAATGTCTGTGGGTGGCAGGCAGCTATTATAACAAGTAGGATGGTTCTTAGGTCTATAAAGAAAATGTAAGGAAAGCAATTGAGTCGCTATCCATCAACTGTTTTATGCTAATCAAAGCAAACACTGGCTAGGAGATTATTCACAGCTTGTAGTCTCAGGTAGGGGTTGCAGTATCTATAAGCAGAGTGCTATTTTGTATACTTGAATTACACAGTTGGAGAATAAAGGCACAGAACATAAAGTTCAAGGGTGAACTCTGTATGTTTGCAATGTTAAAACTAAATTTTGTAACATAATCAGGCATGCTGCTAAAATGTAGTTTATCAATTCAATACTTTTTCTTTGTGTTTTCTACTGACATAACTATTTCCATTCCTGTTGCAAGACAGGGCAAAATAGGAAACAAAACAATACAGAATCTGCAGAGTAGAAAGAATTGGATGCTGTTCTAAAATTACTGTCTTCAGGGGAACACACTGAATTATTTTAGTTTCTAGAAAAACAAAATCTCAAGTTACATTTCTCCATGCATTTGAAAATGTAAATAATGAGAGGAAAAATATAAGGAAACTGTACAAAGGCTCCAAATATAACCTTTTTCAGGTTACTGAAAAAAATTATGAAGTATTTAGAAAGAATATATGCAAAATATTTTCATGGTGTTGCAGAACTTTCCCTACCCTTTTAACGCCCCCCTCCCCCCAACAAATCCTTGAATATGTAATTGCTATCCTAGCATCAATATTGCATGAGATGATAAAGAATAGGCTATTTTCAGAAATCAGGTTGCATAATGGAATGAGGAGGTGACCTTGGAGAATGAGGGGAAGACATGCTGCCTAGGAAACTATTAGACAAGAGAGAGCAGGAGCCCCCAAGTGGCCTAATGGTCAGTAACAGAATTTAGCAAATCTGAAAGCACAAACTTCTCACTGTCACTTTTAACTGCTTCATCCATTAGGCAGAGCCTTCTTACATTTCTTTCTCTGACTATTCAGCTGCTGAGTGCTCCTGCCTCTCTTCTTTGACAGGTTCAGACCATAATTGTCTGCTGTTTCCCCAGCCACAGTCCCTCCCTGGTGATATACATCCTCAAGGTTCAGCCACTTTTAAACATTATTTGAAAAACAAAGATCTATATGGCATGACTGGGTTATAGGGTTGCCTACTAAACTATAGGTTTGCCCATAACCTATGGAGCATCTGGTGCAAATAAAGGTTCTATTTCAGGTTATATACTACTAATTGAGAAGCCCTGTTTTCTTTTCCCAGGATTTCTCTTTTCTCAGAAGCATCTGGTAATGCTCTCAAAGTAGCCCCCCCAAAATAGTAATCTTGTCTCTGTAAAAGCCACAGTTGATTCTTTCAGCAAGAACTGCTCTTGATTATGACATTTTTTCTTGCATAACACATTATATCAATTGTTAAGCTCTTGGCCTACATATACTTTCTTGTATTTTGCACTAAGCCTTTTAAAATTCACTTTGCATATGTTCCAGTTCTTAGAAACATATACTTTAAAGTCATACTTTGGTTTTAATATAACAACTTGCTCTTCATCACCCCCTTCCCTTCCAAAATTGATTCACTCTGTGGAACATTTGAGTTAGTTTTAATTATCCACTGATTATAGAGTCTTAACATATACAAAAAGTGTATATTTCTGCTTTAATTGGCCCACCTTGATTGTAAACCTGAGAAAACAGAATAAAAACTGCAACAAAGGTTTCCTAGATCTTTATATCCCTTCAACCACTTTCCCTGACTGGAATTAGTAGTAAGTCCAAATTCCTGCAAATAGTCACTAACATTTGACCTCCACATGGCAAAAATGTAAGGCATTCCAGATGCAAGTGCTGAATTTGTTGAGAATTCGTAGGGGAAATGAAGCCAGAATGCATGACAAATGGATTAAGACTATCTACCATCAGCACTGAAAAGAACCGCGAAGAACATTCTGATATTCATTGCAGATAAAAAGAGAAATATTAATAATCCAGGATGAAAATGGAATCCATTATTTAAAAATTGCCAAGACATTGAAAATTTTTCCACTGACAGTTCAAAATAACTTTAGCTAGAGAAAAAGTGATTGGGAATATATACAATATGTACTTTTTATAACTTTTATAACTGCAATGTTGTGTCATTGTCTTTTGCTCAAGGCAAGCCTCTGGAGTTGCCAGAAACCATTTTAAAGTTTAAAAAAAATCAGCTTTCTCCAAAAACAGACATTTTTAATCATCATCACTTTTTAACCATTTAATTCAAGCCATTACCATTAAATCAGGATAAGCAGACCTTCTGCCTAAACCCCATAATGTAGCTATAAAACCACTCTAAAGGTTACAGTCCTGATTCATATTCAATATGCTCATATGGGAAAAGTATGAAATACGTAGGAAATACGTATATACTTACGAATCAAAT